CCCAAGCGGGTCCCAAGGGGGGGGGGGGGGGGAGATCAGGCCCCTCGCCACTTCCCCCCGTCCCCCCATCAGAACTTGCTATGTGAGCTGTCACTGGGTCATGCAGCTCCTGAGCTGTGGCAGGTCCAGAGCTTTCCTCAGTGGTGGTGGTGCCTTTCCTGGGGCTGCCCAGGTGGGGTGCTAGCTACACAGGTGCAGCGCCAGCTCACAGACAACACCCATGAGATCCAACAGTGACCAGAATGCTGGAAGCTCAGACATGCTCCCAGAAGCTCGGGCTTGGTGGGCTTCCAACATCCATGCACTATCCCCACCACCTTCCCGCCACCTGGGACCACCCAGGAATGGGTGGGCTGCCCCAGGAAGGTGGCAAGAGGGTGGCTGGGTATGCTGGTGGCTGGAGAAGATGGCAGGGATGGTGCACGGGGCACTGTGGAAGCCCACCAAGCCGAAGCTTCCCTGAGCACGTGCAGTCTTCCAGTGCCCTGTACGCCATCCCCACTGCCTTCTCTAGATAGGGGCCTTGTATGCATGAGGGATATCACTGTAATTTGTTACATAGCAAACTAAGATAAATGGGATGTGTTTTAGTTTGCTACATAAAAAAGTCATTTAAATCAAAATATACTGCTGAATATATAGTGTACACTGTTACCAAATGTAATCATAACATACTGCCAAATGTGTACACTGTTACACAGTTAAATTGTTTAAAAGGGCAATTAAACCACTAAAAGGGGCAATTTCCTCATGTGTACAAGGGCCCTCTTATTCTATGCCTATAAACAAGTCTCAAGGTCAGACTTTTGACAAAAAATATATTCCTGAGCCTGTGCTTACACATGGACAGCTTTATGTAACCTTTTTGAGGGTGAGAAGTTTTGATTCTGTTATTCAGTCAAAGGATAACTAAAAATACTGTATTTAAAGGAATACTTTTGCAATAAAAAATTGATCACAAATGTTTTGCAGGTTTCAGCTATTTTGAAAATAAAAAATGAAGTAAACTGTGAGCATGAGAATATATGCAGCAGTTTGCAGTCCAGTAATATTGTGTAGACCTTTGTCAAAGTTAATGCTAGATGACTGGAACAGGTGAAGGAAGATGGATGTCTAGAGAATCAAAATATATAATGGCTGGAGTCTTGCTGGTTTCTGATCTCATTATAACCTAATGTAACATTGGAATTGAGGTTTTGAATCTTGTGTGTTATAAGAGCATCCAGACATGTGAAATATGGCATTTTCCTTCTCTCTTTTTGCTCTAGTTTGAATAAGATTTTAGTGATTAACTATCATGTTACAACTATGCACTGACAACTCTCTAATTTTCAGTGAAAATATTAGTACCTACCACTTTTGTATTGTTGTCAGTCTCATCAAAATTACATGGATTAAGATGTTATTAAAAACTGAATCCATTTATCACTTTCTACTCTACTCTCCTGGTCAAAATAAAACATTTTGCATCAGTTTGGGGAAGTTTGCGCTACTGTGGCTTGTGTTATATCTGTTATGGTTTATGCTGCATATAGAGGGTTCATGGGACAATGTGAAAATTGCCTGACATGTAAAGTAGACAGCTAATCTAACTCAGCTGTTTTGTTAGCAATCCTGAAATGGACTGGTACCTGTCTATTGCAAGGCTGCTAGTAAAGGCAAGAGGCTCTGAGTAAGAATATAAACCTAATCTTAATGAGACGGGAACAGCTAGTGTGTCAAACATTAATGAAGTGGAAAAAGGCTGAGAGCAGGCTGTCCTGCACGAAGTGACAGGCATGTTTAAATCTCCTCAAGTACTACCTTTCCATATTGAAATCATTGGGATTTGGCAAATCACTAGTACCGTTTACACAGTTTAAATGACTACCTGACTTATCCAAGAGTGTCTTGAGCTTATATTGTATATGGGTGTATTTATGGTTTTTAATGTGCAATATTATAGTAGCACATTTCATACAGCATTTCCTTTTTAAAAATCAACCTCTTCAAATATTATGCATATTGAACAATATTTATTTAAAAATAGGTGGGTTGCTGTGTGTGATGAATCTATCCATAAAAACTCATTGATTTATTTTCATAGGATAGGTGCACACCTCTTACCTCTTGCTATAACTGAAAATCATCAAGGGATGGTAGAGTTTCTCTTCAAAAAGGAGCAAATGTACATGTTGAAGGTAAGTCTAAGAGATACTGTACGTCACACTCTTGTCCAGAACTGTATATACTACTTAAATGATACAACACCACTTGATCCTCTCCTGCAGCTGATCTTCCTAAAATGCAGCTCTGAAAAAGTGTCTTAAAACCTCCAAACCCCACCAAGATTCATTGTAATGTAGGAACTACATGTTCACACATGCTTTTATCTGATTCTGGCCACTTTATCATGCCTGAAGAGGTGCTATAGGGTGCAGACAGGAATGATAATTTTTTGCCTGATCTGGCCACAAAAAGCAGTTTATAGCTGTGACCAAACACAAGTGCATGGCTGCAAACAGCTTCAAAAATGGCCAATTGGGTAAAAATGTGATCCCTCATTGTTAAGAAAAGTTAAAAAAACAGAGGCAGGCAGTGGTCAGGGTGTGAGGGGGCAGGTGGTGAGAGAAGCAGTGGGTGGCAGGCAGACAGGCAAGTAAAGCAAATTCACCCCTGCTCGCCCCACTACCTCTGTTCCCCCTACAGCCTTGTGCTTCTCACCCCGCCTTCCCCCATCTGCCCCATCTCTATCCCCACTCTTTACCTTTGCTCCACTCCAAAAAGCTCTGGCTCTGCTCAAGCCTCGGGTACAGGGCATGGCCCCAGCCAGACCCGGTAGCAGCAGGGCAGCATGGCAGCTCTGGCCCCAGCTCCAGAGCATAGCTGTAGCTACCATCACTGCCACTGTTGCTAGCAAACCAAACTGGGGCCCTGCTCCAAACGCCAGACTGAAGCAGGGCCAGAGCTTACCAGGGCATAGCAAAGGTAAGCAGTGGAGTGAGGAGCAAGGGAAGGTGCAGGGCCTGAGGCTACAGGAGTGGCAGGAAGGAGTGGGGCAGAGGCTGCTGGGAGGGGCAAGAGACCCAAGTCTGTGGGGAAAGGAGGTGTAGGGAGGACCAGGTAGGGATGAAGAGACTATTGGTGGACAAAGCAGCAGGCAGAGGTGGTGCATGTGCAAAAAAATCTGTGGCTCCAGTCCCAATCCCAGGTTGGGCCCAGAGCAATAGCAGCTGCCTCCTCCCCCGTCCCCTCTCCCACATTGTACTTGAAGTCCAAGACAAGGGGCTTTATTCCCCATGTTAAATGAAGGGGGAGAAACATGTTTTGCTTTTGAGTAAATATGGTACATCAAAATGATAAGAACATACACAGTTAGACAGGATGGTTTTTAAACAGAGGTATATATTGTTTGGATTCCAGGCAGAAGCCAAACATTGATATGAACAAAATACAGGCCCCATCATGAAGTTCCCCTTATAAAGTACAAGCAGTATAAATTCATATTTGTATTATTTTAAAAGCATTACATGACTTAAGATATTATATAATATCACTAAATTTCATAGGACACTAAGTGATCTTGAACAGACAGTCTTGAAATGCAGATAATTACAGTTTTTGAAAATGTATGAAAACCCTGGTTAAACCATTAAGCTGCATCCTAAACTACCCATAGAGCACAAGCTCTTTCATGTATAAAACATCTCCTTAAAACTGTTAAATAGTTCTTGACTAAGATCACCTAAGGAACATGTCACTGAAGACAAGCATAAATGACAAGATACCAATTTAAAATTAGCTTGTTTAAAACCATGGTTTTATTAATGAGTACTAGAAATGTACTTAACCAGTGTGTGTGACTGCATGGTTTCACTTCCTAATTGAAGGATGTGCCCTGAATTTAAGCATGGTATCTTGAGGGCAGGGTTTTCTGATATAATATAATAGATTACTAGCACAGAAACAGTACGGGTTTAGAGCGCAATATTTTTCAAAAGTATTTAGGTCTGTCATCAGGCAAACTAGCACATCACTACAAAATTACTACATTGACACTGTTCATTCTTTTATGTATGCAGTGAAAATAACAACTGCACTCCATGGAGTGGGTCTTGCTAAGAAAGAAAGTAAACAGTGTGTGATATCTTAGGACTGCACAAATTCAGGGAGGCATTTGTAAAGTACAGCTCTAGTAAAGAATGTTTTTTTAATTCTGAAATAAAGTTATTTTAAATTATAGAGAGCATGCTGAAAATTAACTAATTAACTGCATTCCTTACAGTCTGCACAGATTGCATTGTTTTTCTTGTGCAGTAGTTTCATAACTGTTAAATACTTAACAGTCAGCAGTTGTTTCTTCCATGGTTTTGTATTTGTATATGCATTTATTTCCTACTTTTCAAATTTATTTTTCTGATATCATTGTTTCATCTGTCCTTTCCATGCCTTTTCCTAAATGGATATAGAAATGCAGCAATCTCCCAACCAGACATCAAGAACAAGAGATTCAAGGAAAGGTTTTCTATATAATAAGCTTTCCAGTGTGAAACATATCATGCCAAATACAAATACACCTTTTTGATATTTAGTATTTGTTCAAATCCAAGTTCCTATAATAACAACTTACTTTTACCTTTTAAATTGTTTTTAGTTTGGGTTTTTGTTCCTATAATTTTGGAGTGAATCCTGTACTACTGCAAAACTTGGTGTTATTGTTTTTCATTTAAGCCTATGAATTTGAAATTGCACCAAACAATAGAGATGGGTCTGAATGAAATCTGTATGTCAGAAGAATAATCAACAGGCTAAATTATCCAAATTCTGATGGAAAAAAAATAATTGATTTTTTGAGAGAACATCCTTTTCTGAAAAAAAGGGTATATTTCACTGAAAGTACTTGCTTTTGAAAATTTACCCAGAAGAAATGACAGTCAGTCATGCATTTTTTCTTATTCCCAAAGTTAAAGTTACAACTAGCAAGAATTCTGCTGTACATGTTAACAAAGGAAAGTATAAATTTCTGTTCAGATAATGAAAAATAATCAGCCAAACTCCAAAATGAATGATCTAAGATTAAATCAGAAGTGCTGGAAATGGTCTACATTTGAGTAGCTGACATACCATAATTATCAACATTGAGTTTTCTGGCTGTTATGTTTATTTAAAATGGGTTTTTGGTATTTGATTTCCATGGTTTGGCTACTTTATCAAGGAAGATAAAATGCTTCATAGAATGTCAGAACAGGCAAAATTATATTGGCTCACTTAGCTATAAAATCTCAAAAATCCCCTGACCACTGCTGCTGCCAGCCCAGCAGCTCCAACTGCTGTGTGGCTGACTGGGACAGTGTTGAAGTTGGCCCGCACAGTGAGGGCCAGGATGACAGCCCCAGCAGCCACAGCCTGGGCTCTGCTGCCCCCCCACCCCGTCTGCCTTGGGGGCTCTGTCAGGACAGTCCCATCCATGGGTAATAGCTGCCACCAGGTAATGTGATAAAGAAAAGCAGCATGTCCACTTACATTCACAGGGTCCATGCTTCGGCTGCCCACCATCAGCTCACATCCTTGCTGTGATGTGGTTGCCGTCTCTCTGGGGCTTCGTGGCTCCCCTCTTCCCACCTTTGGACCACTCCTCCATGGAGCTCTCTGAGACACTCCTTCCCCTTCAGCAACTCCCCCCCAGCTGTCGCTCTGCCCAGAGTTTTTATAGTCCTGTCCCTACTGGTCAGCTGACTAGCTGGCCAGGCTCAGCATTTAACCCCTTCTTTTCCAGCACTCCATGCCCATAAAGTTCTGCCCTTAAAGGGGCAGACGTGCTTTCTGGTAACAGGGCTAGGGTCCCCGTTACAGTAACCTAGGGGATAGTGACCACATATTAATAGGGTTCACTATCTGGAGAAAGGTGGGGAAGATAACTAGTAGGGCAGAAGTGCTAAACTTCAGGAAGGCCAACTTCAACAAGCTCAGGAAATTAGTTAGGGAAGGACTAACTGGTAAAAGCCTTGGAGAGATGGGAGTCCAGGAGGGGTGGGCATTTTTCAAGGAACTAATCCTGTAGGCACAGAAAAGGACCATCCCAGTACACATAAAAGGGGGTAAAAAAGCAAAGAAACCTTCTTGGTGGAGCAGGGAAATTCAGGAGAGCCTGGAGGGAAGAAAAGAGGCCTACAGGCTGTGGAAGCAGGGGGCTGTCACCAAGGAGGAGTATACCTGCTTGGCTAGAGCTTGCAGAGAAGCAGTGAGGAAAGCTAAAGTGGAAATGGAGCTTAGGCTGGCAGCAAAAATTAAGGATAACAAAAAGTCATTCTTTAAGTACATAGGAAGCAAAAAGAAGGTGCAGGATAACTTAGGGCCCCTTCAGGATGAACTAGGGCAACTGGTGACAGATAGGATGGCCAAAGCAGAGCTTCTAAATGATTTCTTTGCATCCATGTTCCTGAACACGAATACAAATACACATCCCATTGGGACCTTAGGTAAGACCAGTATAGATACCAACCCACCAACTGTTTGAGCTGACCTAGTAAAGGGGCACCTGAAGGGGTTGAATGTATTTAAGTCAACAGGTCCTGATGATCTTCATCCTAGGGTGCTTAGGGAATTAACTGGAGTCATAGTGGAGCCACTGGCACAACTGTTTGAGCACTCATGGTGCTCAGGACAGGTCCCAGAGGATTGGAAAGAGGCCAGTGTGGTCCCTATTTTCAAGAAGAGGAGGAAGGAGGTATCGGGTAACTATAGGCCGGTTAGTCTCATCTCTATCCTTGGCAAGACCTTTGATAAAATTGTTAAGGATCACATTTGTGGGGGACCAGTGGGTAAAATGGTGCTAAGGGGCAATCAGCATGGGTTCATAACAGGCAGATCCTGCCTGACTAACCCGGTTTCATTTTAGAACCAGGTCACAAAATGCTTGGATGAAGGAATAGAGGTAGATGTTATTTACTTAGATTTTAAAAAGGCCTTTGACACAGTGTCGCACCCAATTTTTATAAATAAACTAAACAGTTGCAATGTAGATTATTACACAGTCCAGTGGGTAGAAAATTGGCTTATGGGATGCACCCAGAGAGTGGTGGTGGACGGGTCAGTTTCTACCTGGAGAAATGTGGGCAGCGGAGTCCCCCAAGGCTCTGTCCTTGGACTGGTACTATTCAATATCTTCATTAGCATGTTGGACGAGGGAGTGGAAAGCACCCTATCCAAGTTTGTTGATGACAACAAACTATGGGGGGAGGTAAACAAACTAGATGGCAGGGAGCGAATCCAGGCTGATTTGGACAGGCTAGGGAACTGGGCCGAACAGAATAGGATGCGGTTTAACAAGGATAAGTGTCATGTGTTGCACCTGGGGATGAAGAATCATCAACACTCCTACAGCCTGGGAGGTACCATTCTAAGTAACACAACTACAGAAAGGGATCTCAGAGTCATAGTCGACTCCAAAATGAACATGAGTCACCAGTGTGATGAAGTAATAAGTAAAGCTAACTGCACCCTTCCTTACATAAGTAGGTGCATCACAAACAGGTCTAGGGAGGTGATACTTCCCCTCTATGTGGCAATGGTCAGGCCGCAGCTGGGGTACTGCATCCAGTTTTGGGCCCCACACTTCGGAAGGGATGTGGATGGCCTAGAGAGGGTTCAGAGGAGGGCCACTCATCTGCTTAAAGTCCTAAAGAAAAAACCCTATGTGGACCGACTGGGAGACCTGAACCTCTTCTGCCTCCGCAAGAGGAGGCTGAGAGGTGATCTCGTGGCCGCCTACAAACTCATCGGGGGGGCCAGCAAGAAATAGGGATACAATGTTTACCAGGGCACCTGTCAGGGTAACTAGAAATAATGGGCACAAACTGGAAGAGAGCAAATTCAGATTGGACATCAGGAAAAAATTCTCTACAGTGAGGGTTGCCAAAATATGGAATACGCTTCCAAGGGAGGCAGTGCTGTCCCCTTCCTTGGAGGTGTTCAAAAAGAGATTGGACGTACACCTGGCTGGGGTCATCTGACCCCAGTACTCATTCCTGCCCAGGGCAGGGGGTCAGACTCAATGATCTAATTGGTCCCTTCCGACCCTAACCTCTATGAAACTATGAAAAATGTGGTTCCTTATACAACATATTAAGTATCATTCTGTCTGGCACTGGTACAGGTTACTCTCTTTTCACTTGTTAAGGTTTGCCAGAGTGCAAGATGTTTCACTTGAATCCCATTCATCCCATTTATTCTGAATCCACTAAGTGGATAATAAAACTGTCTCATTCAATCTTGTGCACCATCTATAGATTCCCTTTTAAGGGTAATCCTTAGGTTCAATTAAACCAGTGTTATGTTCTGCTAACATTTCCAGAATGATGCTAAGAGTACAGGGATCAGGTTCAGGGTGTAGTTTAATACTATCAGAGTACAGCACCTACTATTGATATTTTAAAAACCCTAAAAGTTTCTATATATCAATTAGCTCTCTTATTAATTTTTTAAAATCTTAATAGCCATCTTCCACCCAGTCATCCAACCAAATTTAAATTTGTTTTATATTATTTTTTACTCAAGTGCAAAAGAACCTACAAAGCAGGAAATCTCATTTGTTGCTTTCTGTGATACAGCATTTCCATTTGACAAATGGATAATAAGTTTTTAGATGATATTATTTAGATAATATGTTTTTTAGATAATATGTTTCATTCATGCTATTCTGGATTAAAATGTCTATATAAAATTCAGCTTGGAATTACTTCAATGTTTGTTCATGCTAAATGTTTTTATAAATTGCTGGCAATTTCCAAGTCTTATGCTTTGAATGCTAAACTTTCTTTTTTAATCATTAGTTGAACAGTTATGGATGACTTTTCCCAAGGAGACTCAATAGCACAAGATTTTTTAAAATATCTGAAAGGTTTTAGCAAACCTTAAAGAGTGAGAAAGAGACTAATTCTTACTTTTACATTTCTTATTTAAGAAGTTCTGAAAAAGGTGAAGGTGACAACAACCGGCTTTCTTCAGAGGAAGAAGAATTAGATTTTACTGCCAAAGTACAGTGCTGTCCTGGAAAAAAAAGATTTCCTTCATAGAAGAGGGAGCGTCTGTATACTTTTTTAAAATATGGAAGACTTAAGCCTAAGTTTATTTCCCTATGGTTGAAAGACTGTACTTCTAATAAGGCATAACACATTTTACAAATATAACTCTCCATATCTTTTTCATTTATTTTCTTACCATGGGCCCATCTATAAAAGTTTTTTAATTGTGGAGTACTTAGGCAAAGTGTGAGATAGTTATCTATAGACTGAAGAAGAGTAGGTTGTTTTTGTTTTCAGTTGTACTACAACTATTCTGGAGCTCTACAACAGGATGAATGTAAATATATTTAGATGTGTGTGGAGGGATGTAGCAGGGCACTAAGGTGCCTGCTACTTGGAGAGCCAGAATAGCTGCTCAGGTGCCCATTGCTAGGATGACCAGAGGAAGCCAGTGTCCCACACCTGCTAGCGGTCAGCTGACTGGAAGGGGAGGTCCTGGCTCCCATTTAAACACCAGGACTGAGGCCAGGGAGGCAGTTCCCTCCTGGCTGCCAAAGGGGAAGGAGCTCTCCTAGAACAACCAAAGGGGAGAGGCCTGGCTGCAGGAACAGCTTCTGTCACTGTGGAGGGATGGAGTATTTTCCAGTAGGGTGAAGGTTGTTAAAGCCGGGTGGCTCACGTTTATGTTATAGCCAAGGGGCTCACATTTTGTTTACTGTTTAATACCAGTGGCTTGGGTGAGGCTATTAGGGGTTGGAGGAGGCCTCATAGGGGACCCACAGTAGTGTGGAGATCCCAGCTCCAGCAAGGGCACAGCATTCAGGGTGCACTGACCCCAGCCCCAGAAAGGGGGGCAGCAAGAAGCCCCAGAGAGGGGGCATTGGTGAGAAGCCCCAGTGTGGGTATGGTGAGCCCTAGAGAAGGGGGCAACATTTGAGAAGCCCTAGAAAAGGGGGCAGCATTTTGGAGGAGCCCCAGAGAGGTAGCAGCGAGAAGCCCCGGAGAGGGGTGCAGACCCTGGCTCCAGTGAGGTGCGATCTTAAAGAAGCCAGGGAGCTCAGGTGCGCCTGTGGTGCATCTTGGTGTTGATATTTGTGTGTACCCACCGCCGCTTGACCAGGAGATCACGCGCCACTTTCGCCCGGGCCCCAGATCTCGTCCGCCCGGGCTTTGCTGATGTGCCCCGAAGTTTACCCCGATTGGTATCAAGGGGGACCCCAAAACTCGCCTGCCACGACTTTGATGACGTCTTCAGTGGGGGGGTCTTCCCTTGGAGTATCCCTCGGTGCTGACGCGTTCCTCCGCGGGCAATCTCGGGGCTCCGTCCTCCCCTACACCCCGGCCATTCGCCACCTTAGGGTCTTCCTATTCTGGCCTCTACTCCGTCCTTGCCTTGCCTCCCTCTTACCTCAAACCTCTGGCCGTCAACAGCGGTCTTCGGGCTGGGCGTACCTCCAGCAGAGCCGCTGACTTGGCCCCTCCCTCTCCGGGGTGCCTCTGGCCTCTTCGCTGCCCCTACCGGTGATGCCACGGTTACCCTCACCGTCGGCTCCGCAGTAGGAGGCCCCACCAGCCCCTTCCTGGGTACTGCTGCTGGCCCTGCCCCTGGCTCTGCTGCCTGCTTC